GAAAATTAGATGATCCGCGAGAAAATATTCTAACGTGATTTTACATCGTTCGAATAAATAATCTCTCGCAGTTATCGCGCTCAACGTTCACTCACTGTATTATAGCTGTTACAAGCTGCCACCATTCAGTCAGTTGAACACAAACGACTCTCAATCTTTTGATTACCAACCGGCACGGAACTATTATTGTTATTGCCGCGGCGCCTGCGGTTCGTGAATGAACGCAAAAATTCGCACGTGCAATCCGTCACACAGATCTATAACCGATCGAGAGAGGATCTTTCGTATATATAAAAAAAAAAAAAGATACGCTCCGTTCGAGTTCACGCGAGGTAAAACAACGAGAAACAACGGTTGTGCGATTTATAAAATAACGGAGAAGAAATTCTCTCGACCTTGAATAATCCGTCGCGATTACAATCGCATATTCATCAGCAACGCGCCGCGTTGCTTTCGTCTCGAATGACAGACGCTCGCTTATCCGTTCATTATCATCCATTACTCGCATCGACTAGATATTAAGAACTGATTATCTTTGAACCAAGATAATGATGAAGAATGAAAAGTTGATTAGAATTTGTATTCCCACATGTGCATAGAAAGGATTTGTTGAAAGATCTAAAAGATCTGATCTGGTATAGATGTCAAAAATAATTTTGTTCGGCCATCACAATTATTATAATGTAATCATAACGTTTAAGCAAAATGATAATACTGCAAAATTTTTTTACATTTTTACAATTTTTTTATATTTAAGAATTAATTTAAATATCCTAGATAATTATTTCGATGGCCCGACAAAATTATTTTTCAAAACTGTGTTTCGCCATATTTTGTGAAGCCTTAAAGCCAAAACTGTTTTTTTCCCATAAAATTAACTCTTTAACAAATGAAATCTATTACTTCAAACAAAAGAAAATTTTTCTGTAATCATTAGTATTTATGTAATTAAATATTTCATCCTCTCTTAAACGGAAAGTCGAATGCCGACACGAAAAATAATATCGATCCAATAGAGCGTGATATCTCGTTCAGCGTTCCTGTACCGATTTGCCGAGATTCTACATTGCACAACGAATTGTTCTCTTTCTCTCCCGGTGAGAACTTGAAAATTTAAAACCGAGAGACTTTAGAATTCCATTTAGCTTTTCCGCTGTTATCGACGCTGCAACTTCTCATCAGAAGAATGAAGATAAAACCGTCACGATTACAAACCCTCTGACGATTGGTGATTTGTTCCAAACATATATATTTCTTCTTGGAATCTGTAGATTTATATTTCTAAATTGTTGCAGTTTTACTTTAAAAATAACATATATGTAGAAATAATATTGTGTCAGTATCCCTAAGAAGGGATACTAACACAATAAAACCAATCAGGGAAAATTCTACTCATTCTTGAGATCTTTCACTTTAAGATATTTTTATCTCGGCGCTAATACACCGTTAAGCTAATCTATTGTTGATTGCTCGCCGATAGGTCAGTCAAAAATTTTTTCCGGAATGTTGGTATTCTTCATAAGGGCGTACAAATCTTTCCTCCTCGAACTCGTTTCTGGTGCACGATAATTTCATCTATGTAGGTCTCGTCGATGCCATCGTCGTACGTTATTTAAGGCGGTGACTCCACTCTGTTTCTCGTTGCTTTAAGCAGTCTCGTTGCTGTATATTGAATTCGACTCGTATTATAGCGATGTGCGTTATCATAGTAGCCTCAAGAGCCTCCTATAAAAGATTTTCGATAAAAGTTATAAGAGATACGAGGATTTATTGGTGCGGTAGAAAAAAAATCTCTCGAGGTATTTAAAAATTTTCTAAGATATTATAGTTTCAAAAAAACATTAGAAAAATGAATATCTTTATTTCCTCCTCTGATCTTTCAGACACTTTCACATCATCAATAACAAGCTGCTTTACTTCATTTTAATTTCTAATCTAACTTTCTATTAACTTGATAAAATTATAAAATTATAGGCTCGTTGTAGGCTTGAGAAAGATAGTGGATCCTAATTCATTTTACCTAAATCCAAGCTCATCTCGACAAGCCTCTTGCCGTAACCGGTGATGCAAGTGGTCGGTCGCCAGGCGCGACTTTTTTTTTTTTTTCCCCCTTTCCGATGCGGCGCGCATTTATCGGGCGTGTTAAACAGACGCGAGCGATTCGTCCGCAGGTATAACGGCGATAAAGCGAACGGTGGCCCGGGCGGGATCAGCAGTGCTGAATAGTTACGCGTACGATGATAAGCTCTTATCAGCTACGTCCGCCATCGCGCACCACGTCTTCGTTGACTTCCTTCGTTGCGTCGCCCTTTTCGAAACCCCTTACTTAGGAACTTGCTCCTTACTTTCGTCTGACCTAGTTGATAATCGGCGTCGATTTATATGTCACCTATTCACTCAACTGTTATCCACGTATGCACCCACGTGTACACCAAGAGCTCACTTCGCTGAAGTTTATTTTGCTCTGTTGTATTTAGCAAAATAAGTATGCATGCCGCGAATACTACGCAAATAATGATTATCAAGTTTTTTTTTTTTATTGTGTTTTCAAGGAAAGTAGGATTTCCCGGAATTTCATGTTTTATTTATTAAACATATATAATACATAGAATAAGTCAAATTGATAAGATATTGTAACATTGATTATTTTAAATTCAGTTAGACAAAATATATTTCTGTCCGAGTCATTAATTTCAATGTTGTAGATTACTATCGCTGAGGAATTTGCTTAGAAGAATTTAAGAAGACTTTTAAATTATATATGCTATATTTCTTATCTTTCTATAATTATTTGAATTATATTTATCGAATAATAATATAGGAAATATTACATTAAATAAAAAATAGTAACAAAGTTAAGGATATATTATACCTATTTTTATAATATAATTTTATAATTTTTATAATTTTATAATTTTTATATTTACAGTGAAAAAATTATGAAAAACTTACAAATTATTCTAAATTACATTTAAAAATAATAAAAAGTTTAGCGGCAATTTAGGATCTGAACTAAAAATTACTTAAATAAATGAATAAAAGTATGATGCAACGGAAAATGTAATTAAGAAATAATAACAAAATTTCAACGAATTGACAAACGAATCTCTGTATTGCAATAAAACTTTACATAAATCATCTTGAATACTTAAATGTTTTAATATAAAAAACTGAAATTTTATTATTTCTTAATTACATTTTTGTCGTTATTTCTTAATTACATTTTTATTAAAATACATTTTTATTTTATATTTAAATAATTTTTAATCTAAGTTTTTAAGTCATTGTAAATTTTTTGTATTAAAATGCTATCTAAAGACTAATTTTTTTATAATTTTTTCATAATTTTGTAAATAAAAAAATAGGTGTAATGAGTCCATAAGAAAGTATCTGGTATCTTACAATTAGATAACCTAGTGATTACGGAGAAAAAGATTTGTTGATATGTTTGACAAAGATAAAAAGGGGACAAATAAAGAAAAATCAAATAGTGTGTGATATACTACTAGTGATTAAAACTATGTTATTATATAACTGATAGAAACCAATTAATTTGCGTCCTTGACATATAATATTATTATAATGAACTATTGATCTGAATATTGCATGTAATCACCAATTATTGATAAAGTTAGTTACATAAAAGCAACCTGCAGGCACTTTGACCCATACTTTATAATTACACGAACGATTCCAAATTATACGCAAGTTCCCAAGAGTTCTTGTATACAATACAACGTATCTGTGAAGCATTTCACAAGTCACCGTGCGTGCTCAGAATTAGAAATGTCTTCAAAATTGAATTGAAAACAATATTTATATTCAATGGTTCCCACGACTATCAAAGGTAATTGAAAAAACAAAAATAATTGCAGTTATCTCAAATTCAAATCCATGGAATGACGTGAATTTTCCATGTTTCAACAATTTCAAAGTTTTTAATCAATTTACGTTTTCTTGAGTGTACGTCTCATGTATTTTTGTAACAGCCAGCAACAACAGTAATTGAAATTGACTTTGCGATATTAAATCTTTTGACTCTATCGCAGGCTTATTGTGTTGCCCAATAAGCCATTCGCTACCTTTATTGGCCTCTCGGATTCAAATACTAATCGATGTAGTGATATATCTCGAGGCCACAGGCATACGGAGAGAATGGTCCTCTACATTCGATTCGAATTATCGTCGTTGATTGTTCCATTCTTGGACACAGTAACAGAAAGTAATAAACTCGTCAAGCGATAGTGCATATCAAATATTACATATATATTTAACGCAGTTACAAAGTCTCGGCGTTACTATACGCCATTTGCTATTTTTGTTTTTATCCTGAATATCTATCTCTATTCTGTTTTATCTTGAAAATTTACGTAATATCATCGAACTATAGAAACACATCGCGTCATTTCGTGAGTGAGCAAAGTTTGCAAACCATGCCATTGGTATGCAATGAGCAACCAGCCAAATATTTTTTTTTTTCTTTATCGCCTATAAGAATATATTCCATCTCTGATGTACGCACAGCACTTTTTAGTCCCTATCCTATGTAATCTCCTATGTAATCTGCCGAGCAGAACTACCTGTTGATCTTGGACGGAACGTTCCAGCAGGTAAATTATTGTCCCATCTGCCTTGAAGACGAGTAAAGATCGACGTAAATAATTCTAAGTTGTACGTGAGAACTCGTTCGAAATCTTGGGAACAGCCGTAAATATGCCTTACTAAGCGGCAATCGCGCTTACGAAGTCACTCGATTCATTCACCGATCAATGTACTCAATCTTATTTACTTCAACAAACTACCAGTCATAAAAGTAATTCGGAACATGATCGAATAAGTTTTAATCGCGCAATTATATTCGCGCGTGCGATGTAAGGGAGTCTTTATCGTGACTTTTATTAATTTTATTTTATTACAATTTATTAAAATGTTAAAATCAGTTCGAAATTAACACAGGCCGTGGGCATATTTTTTTGAATTCGCGTGGCTGTCAATCGTCATATATTTTGCATATATTCAATATATATTTAATCATATATTTAATTTTTGCTTTTCGCGAAGGAAAGATCGCACGGCTACTTCGCCGTCGTTGGAATTTGTTGAACTAATACGAATTATTTTTGCATACGTGCGAAACTTTTCAAAACAAATAGCTCGGATTGGCGTCACTCGATCCCGTCGTCGTTTCTCGACCGGGCTCGGGTGGCCGAAGCTTTCTAGAGTTTCTCGACTTTCCTGAGAAGGTTCACGGCTACGGTAGTACCTGTTAGGAAGGGATCTGGTTTTGAAACGAGTTGTAATGGCAATTCGCCACGAGAGAGAGAGACCTGTCGCCGTCGCCGGCGTCGTCGCTCGTCGTCGGCCATGGTGGGGAGTAAACGAAGTGACGGGATGGTTCGGATGGAACTCGAGGACGTTCACCTTTTTTCGTGACTTCGTCGAGGCAGCCAGACACCGTTGAGATACACCCTCCCCTGCCGACTAGAATCCTGGACCTGGATTGACCTATTCGTCTATAATGGTGAATTTCGTCTTGGTGCTTGAAAATAATGATCACCATGACTGGTCGAAACACATCTTCGAGGACACGAGCTCTATTATTTATGTTGCCATTATATCTTCAAATACGAAATTATATAATCTAATGTATATATTGGTAACGCATAGCTAACAATAGAATCTATTATGTAAACATACTACAGCTGAATACACATTACAATAATAATTAGCTTCAAACAGCCGCTTTCATAACAATATCACGAATGGAAACTCGATCATCTTTATCAAGTGATATTCGGAATGTCCTGTCAGTCAGTCCCGGCATTTAAGATATTTTCTTTCACGTTGACATAAGACAATATCGACATATGTAAGAAATGATTTCGTCCGTTGAATAAATTTAATCAAACGCTTTTCCTGACATACATGTGGCGAACACTGGCAGCCGCAAATTTTTACAAACAATGGAAAATTGTCGAGAAATTCGCTTTGTTGAAGAGAAAAAGAACGGGACAATTCAGTCACACGCGACGGATGATTTCCTTTACTTACAATGTAGTAACGCCGGGAAAATATTTGTTTGTTTGCCGTCACATCAGTCACACTGATGTCCCGTACATTTGGGCTTTGCATTAGCGTAATTAGATATTCGGCCGGTGCGTGCCGTTGACCCTCCCGCAGTGTCTTCGCAATGCGAATTTCTGCGCGAGGATTTCCGACGTAAGCGATTTCGCAATCGCAAAACGGATTGAATTGTTTTACCGGGCGGGATGCAATGGGTGTCGCGGACATTACGCGGAGCATAACAAATATTCGGGTCGTGCCTTTTACGACGTATTTCCATTGGAGGTTTAATTTATCGTGGACTGTTATCGCCTTGTTTTATTGGCAATTTATGTCTTCTATCCGCTGACGATAACACGGTCGTGCGCAGATGTCGAACGCGATCGTGCTGGATGATGTTTGTTTGTTTGTTTGTTTGTTTGTTTGTTTGTTTGTTTGTTTGTTTTTTCTTAATAACGTTCTACAATTCTCGTGATAATTAATATTCTCGTGAAAATTATAATTTCAGACATCTCGCGTAAAATTCTCGTGTCAGGCATTTCAAAAAAAAAAGAAAAAAAGAAAGAAAAAAAATAATTAAACGTAGTGCTCACGTCTCGCGATTCTCGATTCCACGCGCGCAAACAGCGATTACAAGTGACGTGTGCTTTAAGCAGCATAGAAACGGCACGAAATTTTTATTTCGCGTTACACACACAATGCGCTTTTACGGTCCCCGTTCTCATTCATATGTATCGCAGCTTTTGAAACACCGCTCGAACATGCCACTGCAATTCTCTCCGGTGCATTACCCACGGAGTCTCCGTCTCCGTCTCTGTGTATGCGCCTTCAATGCACCGGCGCACAATTGCTTTTCGACCCGTGCATCGAAGTTTAGCGTCGAATCGACAAGTGGAAAGGTCAGTTCTGTTAATAAATTGGCATAACTTCGCGCGACCGCGCCGCCTTTATCGCGGATTACCACCGCGCTCGTCCGGGTAAAAATCGTCCGGGCCGCGAAGGATCGCCGCGGAATGCGCCTCGTGGAATTAATTTATCCCAGATTGCGAGAGCAGAATTATATTTTCCCGCGAGTGTGAAGCGTGTTAATGTTGCATATGCGTATTTAATATCAAATCACAGAAAGCGCAAAAAAGCACTGAAACGCACGAACGCACGTCCCATCGGGTATCTCCTCAATTAGTTGTAGTTGCGATATTAACAGCGCTCGTAACACGCTCGCCCACAATAACGGGGAGAGGCAAACGGTAATAAT